TTTTTTTCTAATGGTGACCACCACGATGAGGTTGCAGCGATCTAGATCTGTGGTGTGCTGTGTTGCAATGGAGTGTGGTTGCGATGTGACTGTTGATAGTTGAGTGGTGCAGTGTAGTTTGTGTGGTAATGCTGTGTTGATATGGGTGTGGTTGCGGTGCGATGGTTGGATGGGTGTGAGTCATGATCTGGTATGGGGTGGTGGACCGCGCAATCGACGATCGTGCGATTGGGTGTATGCATTGCGTGCGTGTGGCGGTGGTGGTTTTGGTGCGTGCGTGCGTGCGTGTTGGTGGTGCGTGTGGCGATGATGGTGGTGAGGAAGTTTTCTGGTGGTGGTGGTGAGGTCATTTTCTGGTGGTGATGGTGAGGTCATTTTCATTGGGGGTGGTGGTGGTTGTTGGGGCGTGGTGTTTCTGTGGTGGTGGTGGTTTCTGTGGTGTTGATGTTGGCGATGGTGGTGTGTTTCTGTGGTGGTGGTGTTGGTGGCGGAAATGACAGTGGTGTTGTGTTGGTGGTGGTCACAAATGATTTGTTGAATTGTGACCAATAAATTGGTTGGTATGTGACCAATAAAGAATAAACTGTGACCAATAAATATTGTGTGACCTACAAATTTATTAATTTGTAACCAATAAAGGTAATCCGTGAGCTATAATTTGATATTTTGTGACTTATAAGTTTTGTGATTCGTGTCCGATGAATAAATTGTGACTTTTAAATTTTTAATTTGTAACCGATGAACGAACTGTGACTTATAAAAAAAATTTAATTGTGACCTTAAAATTTTTGAATTGTGACCAAATTGCATAGATTTGTGACTTTTATATATTTATTAATTAATTAATTAAATTATAAATAAATTTTAATGAAAACCTGATTTTTGAAATTTAAAATCTCAAACTTTAATTTTGAAATAGTGATACTTAAATACCTTATTTATGTATTGTTCCCATTTTCAAAATTATTTTTATTTTAATGTTGGAAATTATTTATGCAATATTGTATACGTAACAACCACAATTTTAAACAACATACAAATACTCTCTCTCTCTCTCTCTCTCTCTCATCTTGTCGTTTTACTAGAAACATATTTTATCATTCATATATCAATCATATTAAATCACTTCGTGCAAGTATTGGTTTATAGTAGCCTTACATTTATTTAGAGAATGGAATTCCACCATCGATAAGTATGATGGATGCCACCATTTTCATATTCGTGACTTGTCATGTGCATTTCTAACAATCGGCTCATTATCTTTACTAATTTGAATCGAGTTCCCATCTCTTTTGTATCAAAACAATCAATCCACGGGATCCACCAAAAGAAAGTTGACCATCTTTTTTTCTTGCCTTGCCCCCTTGCACGACGTGTTCTTCAAGCCCCGTGTATAAACGTCTTAACACATCTTTTCATACACTGATTGAGTTGAACGCTCAATATTACCTAAGTTGAAGATCTCCGTCCTCATTTTTTAAGATTTGACACTCTTTCTTTCTTGTAGCGTAGGGGGATGGATTGAAAACTAAAATAACATTCAATTTTTTTTTTTTACTTTATATATATATAGCCCTTGTTTGAGCCACGTTATAATTTTCATTCTCATTCTTCTACTTATTTTCGACCACACACTCTTCAATAAAATAATATTTTTTATTACATCAATAAATTTTCCTTTTTTTTTCAACCACATATTCACCATCACATCACAAAAAAAAATGCATTCTTTCCATTTTAATGTGCATTAAACATGGGCATATATATATATATAT